TTTTTTTTGCTATAGGGCATGTGCGCTTGCCAGAAAGAGAGATAGAAAGCGAGAAGTCACCCCCCAGGGGGGATGGCCATGCCACAAGGCCTTCTCCTCCATTCTCCTCTCAGGATCTTGGGCACGAACGCACACGTGCCCGGTGTGAGTTTAAGCCACCGGGTCCAGGACAAGAACCGCGGTCGGCTACATGGGAGTTCGGCGACATAGCCATTACGCTAACTGCTGGTCTCTTGAATAGAAAAATTATTAATAATGAAGACCAAGCTCTTATGCTTGACACATTGATCCTACACCTTGGATATTTCTGTGCATGGCATGTTAGAGCGGGCATTAACTTATGGGTCATAGAGTCTTTAGTTCATTAAATAAAGAATGTACCATACCACTACCCTCTTGCCTATTTGGAAATAAGACAGAAAAGGGAGGAGAATGAAGATGTGCTGGTCATGGAGGGTAAATCACTAGATTTGGAGCTGAAATCTGATGACCAAATAAGGGAAAGAATAAATTCTGTAATGGCTAGACAGGGCTCTCAGTTCAGGCTGTAAGTGAGGAGCAAAGGCATCTGCAGGCTTGCAAAACCTGTGTCAGAATTGATGTATATAAGGCAAAAAAATTCATCCGCAGATGGGAAAATGGTCATCCACCTCATCACCGCCTTCTGAGTGGAGGAAGTAGGACTCGGCAGCCTTTGACTCCTCCTTGAATGAGTTCTGAACTTTAAACAAAGTAGCAAACCCCTCACCAGGGGCCTGTGCTGCAAGCTGGCAGGATCCATGACTCACCCTGCTCCCACAAGCTTAGTCATTTCAAGACAGAGTTGTGCCAGTTCAAACCCTACTCATATTTTCCAACCAATGAATATCAATAAAGAGGAGACAACCAGTCACCTCTAGATTCTTTCTAGAGCCTCTGCTCTGGGGCACAGCCAACCCCACGGACCGAAGGTGGCAAAGCAGCCCTTTCACTTCCAGCTCATCTGCAGCTCATGCCCGCCCCCCACCCACCCCTCAGCTCTGCTTATGAGGGCTACTTCTTGGAGCTGAGCTAAGGACCAGCAGATGGCATAATGGCTATGTTGCTGGATTCTCATGTAGTCCACTGCAGTTCAAGGCCTGGAGCCAGTGGCTTAAACTCATGCCAGGCATGTGTGCATGTGTGCCCAAGATCCTGAGAGAATGGAGGAGAAGGGATTGCAGCATGGCCATTCCCTCTGGGGAGTGATTTCTCGCTTTCTGTCTCTCTCTGTCTTTCTGGCCCTATAGCCAAAACAAATGAGAAAAACCTCTCAAAAAAATAAAAATAAATAAAACTGAGCTAAATTTGCAGGCTTTCCCATGTGCACCATGTTTCAGAGTTTAAAGAATATTACATAACTAAAGTAATAGTTTTAAAGCTATTTGCTCTCCTAGGTGAAACTAACACCAGAGGCCGGCATTCAACGGAGGAGCCCGCTGTAGAAATCCTCAGAGGAGCGCCTTTCATTAAAGAGCGCTTATAGCAGAGAGCGCGAGGCTCTGGAAGGTCATACCCGCAGATGGCAGCAGGCAGGCAGGGCTTTGCGAATCTCAGCTTAGAACTTGGGGGGATCGTTCACGCTGCAAATTCCGGCTATGATGCAGGAGCAGAGCAGAAAGGCAGGGGAGAAGGGGCCTTCCTGCTAAGCTCAAGTCTAGCCTCCCTTGGCAGACACAACTGTTACTATGAAGAGAGACCGAAACCAATCAGAGCTATGCGTGTGAATGTGCCAAGCCGGGGAGACGATGTAATTATTGCATAGACCCATGCTGATGAGCAGTTTGTGGTAAACTCCTCTGCTCCAGAGGGGGTCATGTAGGAGCAAAACGGGCGTGTTTTGAAGAGAAAGCTTGCTAATGGGAAATGAAGAGCTGACTCAGATGCGACATGACAGGAGACAGGTGTCTGCTCCGGGTGCACCTCTCCACGGACAGGCGTGGCGAACGAAGCAATCTGCTGCTCGCTCCTGAAGCCCGTTTTCCAAATAGACATAACCCTTTCTCCCGTCCATTAAGTAACTGGTCGGAATTTAAAAATAAGAGTGCATATTTCTTACACTTTCTTTTCACTGGATGAATGCCTGAGGGCGTGGGGGAATGAAGGCAGAGGAGCGACTCTGTAGAGTAATTAGCAACCATTGACAGAGATTCACCAAGGTCAGGGTTTATTTATTTATAATTTATTGGGCCAGTGTTTACATAGAGCTCTACATTTATATGTAATGATAGCAAAAACCCTGGATGGCTCTTCCTGAAGTGCGCTTTTGCAGGTGAAGGGATTATTATATAATTGAGAGAAAACGACGGAGTCACTGTGAGCCCCCAAAGCTAACAGAGAAGAGAGGCAGGCCTCGGCCCCAATCCTAGTTCTCCAAACCCAATGCTCTTTCCTACAAAATATACCGTCTTCCTCTGGAAAGAAGCACAAGGACACACTTTGTCCCCAGGACCGGTTGGTCCTGAGCGCACACCCTCATGTTGTCGCTGGGGTGTTTGGCTAGAATGTTTGTTCCCTCACAACTTGAGGTCCTAAAGCATCTGGAAGAAGCTGCGAAGGGGGCTTTGGAGTAAACTGCCTGGATTCTGAGCAATCTGAACAGACCTAAACATGCTTCTCTGCTTCCTGCACAGACACGGGGCGGCAGACCAGCTGTGGCAGGTGGATATAGTGCCAGGGCTGGAGGAAAGTGAAAGCCAGGAGAGTCAGGAAGTCCCTCATCCTCTAAATAAGAGGAGGGAAAGCAACAGGGTAGGGGTATGTGGGAGGGGGCAGGGACTCCAGAGACAGGGCAGAGACGCAGAGAAGGGATTTGGGAGGAACAGGACAGGGAGGCTCAGGTGCGGACTGCAAATCGCCTTGCAGATGACGAGATCCAGGCCGTGACCACTGACAGTGGAGGGTGTGCTCAGGGCGGCAGAGACAGCAGTCGCTCAGGGGCATCCGCGGCCTGCACATCACTGAAAAGCAAGCAGCGCGCAGCCCTGTTTTTGAGTCTGAAAAGGACAACTTTTAGCAGCTGGGAAATAAAGCTAACCGTTGTTACCACTTCAAGCAGTTGGGGTTTATTTTTTCCTCTTTGAACGGAAGTAACCATGGCTAGGTGTGCGTGTGTATCTCAGTTTCCCTCTGAAAACCAAATTGTTGATGAATTTTCTTAAAAAAAAACAAAACAAAATACCCCCAAAAAAGTGTTTTTTTTTTTTTTTTCCGTAACTAGTACAAAACTGAGAGAAAGAAATTGATGAAAAGTGCAAATTTATAATTCACGATTTACTCCTCTCACTGAGTAGGGTGCTTGTTTGTTGTGGCTATGAATTCAGATTTCAGTCTTGGCTTATGAAATCCCCAGCAATAGGAATGTTTGCTGCTATGGTTTGCCTGGAAAGTAATAAACTGATAAACCCTGCTCTTTCCTGTGTGTTTATTAATTCTGGTTACTCATTACAGCTTTGCATTTGAAAGAACGGTTACATAACTTTTTGTTGTTTTTTGTGTGTGCCTTGTTTTACAGATTTGATTGTGGTTTCTAAAATGTCTCGACTCCCTCAAGGGCATGATGTTATCTGTAGATGAAGATCTCTAGTCTACAGACCTGGAGCCATACTAAACTTTAGCCATGCGAAAGCATCTGGAACCCTTGTCTCCCCAGGAACGCCTGCTAAGAAGGCAAAAATAACCAGAGGGCCAAGTTTACCATGAATATTTGGTGCCGGGTCTGAACAGTCTCCTTGCCAGGGCTCTGCGGCCCCTCCCTTAGCCAGTCTCTGTGCGTTTCCGTCCCCGTGTGTGTAAGCCAACAGCACCTACGCATGGAGCTGGGAGGGTTCAGGTTTGCGCCTTGCTCTGTCACTTCATAAGTAGCAAAGCTCAGTTTCCTCAATTTCAAAACGTGAGTGGAATGCCCTTTCCCTCTCTCCCTAACAATCTGCAGGTTATTCAGGAAGATCAGAGCCCATCTGCATGAGGAAAGGGATTTTTAAAGATCTGTTATATTCACTGCCTTAGTCCCAGCAACCGGAGACTTAGGAGACCCCCAGTAAACAGCTGCTGAAGAGTGCCCATCCATCACCTAGCACCTCCTTGGCATGGGCGCTGCCCTTCCTTGCTCGGCCATCCCACTCTGCGCCCCCTTCCAGCCTGCCCAGTCTGAGTGAGCACCAGGGCCATGTTGCCTAACAAGATGTCTAACCCGCCCAGGTCTGGGTTGGGGGCCTTGTGTGGGTCTATCAGCTTGTCTTCCTGGTCAGACTGTGAGCCTCCTCGAGGACAGAGACTGTGTCTCTGGGAAAGCACCTCTCCTGGCTCTGTCACCTGTCAGCACCTGTCTCATGAAAGTGTCCTGAGTTTAGGGTGTGAATACTCCAGTGTGGCCTAGAGCAAGCCGTGAGCGAATGATGAGAACACGCGGCCCTCCATTTCCTCTGTGACTCTGAGCGTGTTTGTCAGTGTGAAGGGTCAGATATGGCACCTGGTTGTGACTGGAGACCTCATGTTACCACACGGCTGCATGCCCAGGGCCTGCAGTGAAACGCCATTCATGGCCGACTTCCGTTCCCCTCCATTTGATTTGCTAGAGAAGCCAGATTCATCGAGGATCTCCATCTGCTCGGTTCAGGCAGTTGTTCTGGCGCAGCACTGCAGGGTTTGTACCAAGGTCTCAGTCTGTGGTCTGTGGCAGGGCCAGTCCTGGTGGGTGGGCTACCTAGG